TTCATTAAAACCAGTGTAGTAATACAAAGAACAATAGCAACCGGTCTTGCTGGTGTAAATGAGCTTCATTAAACACTGGCCTTCATTTAACCCAGCAGCAACACCAATCAATCTAAGAAAGGCCAGCATCTGGTGTCAGCAGTGTCATGATCGTTTGCGTGGGACGATCCCGTCGCTACGGGTGGCTATGGATTCCGTGTTCATTTGTCAACAGCCGTTGCGCTTCTTTAGCGAATTAAAAAAGTGTCCTCGTGTCCAGTGCTGGCCAGGGGATCATCAGCATTGAATCCCATGCTTTGCCAGAAAATTTCCTGTACAAAATCTGTACGAAACTTAACATAAATTGAGGTATCCTAGGAAAACAGATCGTGGTGCTGCGAATCTTCGAAGAATTAGAGTTTTTCATGAAGCTGGTTTTCAAATCTCAAACAGTTCTCTGAAACTTTCTCTTGTATGAGGTTAGCTGTATGGTTTGTAAGTGCCATTTATCCCCATTTATCCCCATTGTGTGTTAGCTATGGGTACAATGTCGTTCTGGTTAGGTCATTTGCGGGCATTCTGATTTATCTGAATATGTTGCTGGTGACATTGCCAGATTAGGTTCATGAAAGAATACAACAACTTACATGGGTTTGTCTGAAAATCAGACCCCCCAAACCAATGGTTCATCATCATGTTCCCTCTCTCTCTCTATATATAATGTGTGTGTAAGATCTTTTTGAGAGGTAAAATCTCATTTTCAGAAACGTCACATTATATCCCGATGTGGTTAGCTATAAATTCTATAAGTCCCAATTTCCCTTGCATGATTCTGATATATTCTGATAAGCCAAAAAAAAGGTGGCGAAACAACATGGTTGTTACAATCAGCCGGGCGTTTTTTTTTGCATTCCACCCAGTGCAGCACTGGTCCGAACATTTGCCGAAACGATTTTGGATCCACCGCGACCGCACGCGGAAAAAATCAGGCCGAGATCTGCGGCTCTTAGGCCTCCAACAGTAGCTTTCTTGTGGCTAGGCTAGTTGGGTTGGATCCTCGGTGGAAAAAAGGGGTTAGCAACACAACTGGCGGCTGTGACAAATTTGGACTATGGCCATCCGTGAT